GTATATGCTACAACATGGATGATCCTCAAAAAAATTATGTCAAGTCAAACAAGTCAGGCACAGACTTCAAACTGCATGATTCTATTTATGTGGAATTTCTAGCAGAAAGGAAACATCAATGTGGCTATCTACTGCTGAAGATGAGTGAGAATTAATGGCAAAGGAGCCTAAAAGCACATCTATGGAGAGACGGGTGCTCTATGAAACAATGATGGCTAGACAACTCTACAAATTTACTAAAACCATTAAATTGTACTTTTACAACAGATGAATTTTATGTAAAACACACCTCAGAAAAACTAATATACTTAGTGATTAAGAATATTGGCGTTAGAACAACATGTGCTATTTTTAAAGAATTACGAGTACACAATCTGTAAACCTTACTGGTCAATTACTGCTCATTAGCTACGTCATTACTGAAACAGTCAATGTCCACAATTATATTAGATTTTCTACTAGCTAATTTGTTTTCCCCTAACCTCATGCCCTTACAGAACTCTTTCTGCAAGAAATCTCATTTGCTATTACCCAAGTTTTCCATTGTTTTCTTAGAAAATATTGCAACCAAAAATAAAATTTAGGTATTTATATTGAACATGTATCTAAATACAGATACATATATAATATATATTCTAAATATAAACTTTTTGTTTTCCTCTTGTTTAGTCAACCTGTTTGGTAAGCAACTTTTATTTGGGTAAGCCAATTCACACATACTATCTTTGATAAGTTTCACTTTTGCATTATTTCAAATCAAGCATTTTTCACTATTTTGGTTCAAACTTGTTCTTTGCTTTAAACTTACATTTTGATGGAGTTTTCCAAGCTATAGTGCCTTCAAAGATGGTAACTTCTCATTTTCATCTCACTCCATCTCTTTCCATTCCACTCAAAAATCTATCAGAGAGGTAATATTGCCTCTAAACCAGGTATTATAAAACACTTTAACCAACCATTTCTTCCTAAACCAAATCTCACTTGAAATGCCCATAATTCATGAGAAATAGAAAGCTTCAGATGGTATCAGGAAGAAAAAGTACCCTGCCTGCCCGGGTCCAACTTCATTCAGTATAGCAGCTTCTCAGGATATAGCTTGAACCAGAGCTCTGTTATAAGCTACAATGCTTTCTGCACAGCAAAAACACAAAAATTAAACAAAGCCTTAAGAGTATTTGGATATACTTTAAAAATTCCCACAATTTAATAAAAATTCTCATTTAAAAAATAGCTAATTATAAAACAGCTCCCAAAAATAACATATTTAAAATTCAATTAAAATATGACTTTTTAGGTACTGCTTCTACTATAAAGGCTGTGTACCTTTTATCATAATTTTCTTATATATAGCAGATTTTTTTTTTTTTTTTAAAGATCAACTATAGAGAAGTCAAAAGTCACTAACACAAAACATTCACCTTAATGGAAAGTTGTCAAATAAACTGGTCAACAGAAAAAGCTAATTACCCAACTGGTAGTAAAGAAAATATGATGTGATGAATATTCTAATAAAACCATTTATGTAACTCTAAAATGAACTTAAAGAAAGAGCAATTATTTGCCTCAAGAATCAGGTAAAAAAATCAAGCAAATGTTCAACCAAAATGTTGACAAGTAACAATGACAAACAAGGAAAAGGCAATTTGTACTACTATGAATTTTCAAATCTTTCATAACTACAAAATATAAACCCTTCCCCCTCAGAAATCAAAGGTAAAAGTAACCTGATGCAACTCACATTTCTATAAAAAGTAGAAATTACTACTGATTGTAAAAATGGAGGCAAGAGTTCAGAAATATACTCATTTATAATCAATTAAATGATAAGCCATAATTTGAACCTTAATTATCACATTATATAGCAATCACAATTCAGTTACTGTTTCCTCAGTTAGTAAGATATGATAAATAGTTCACATTTTAAAAACATTTTATCATTACATTATCAAATCTGATAAAATCTTACTAAAACATCTATGTATTCAATATAAATCATATTGTTAAAAAGAATAAAGTAACATTTAAAGAAAACTGCTGAGGTGCCAAGTATTTTCTATTATATACAATTTAACATTTAGAACTACATAAATTAATCCTTGCTAAAAGTTGAGTCAGTTTTACAAAAGCATACTTTTGAACTATAAGTTTTCCAGCACCACTTTTCTCATTTATTCCAAAATTCTCAATAGGTTTAGCCTTTTTCTGCCACTCATATGTAAAAGTTACAGGTTTACAATACAGTATTAATAGCAACATGTTTAAAAATCTAAGCAAAGTACACATTAACCTAGCTACCACTACTCAAGACTTCTTGATTATCACCAAATAAAAAATAGATGAATAATTCACTTCAAATGTGAGGAGGAAAAATAGAATACTTTGCTAAAATAAGAATTCCCTAGGTAAGATATTGTATAAAAGATTTCCTGTTATTTTACTAAGTTTATATTCGTCTCATTAAAGCTTTTAAAAGTCTAGTGAAGAACCCATACTTACAATGCCATATCACACAACTACAGTACTATTAATTAAATAAAGCAGCCTCATATAGTTGTAAACATTTTACATGTAGTAAACAAGACGTGGCATGTCTTTCCTCCCTAAAAGTTGCCATTGCTTTTTCCATGAATAATTATTCTTCCTGTTAAAGTTTTCAGGTCTATTTTAGTCTTTAAAAAAATTACACTGAAATAATATGTAAGAAGATTTAGTCATGGCAATTTCACTGAAGCTTTTATTGCCTCTGCTGGTAGTAGGACAGGGATTGTAAGAAACACAATTGAACTTACAGAGATATGCAGATGAGAGTCCTAAAGATAACCTTGATCTCAAGTATTTTTATATGTGGGCGTTTCTAATTTTATACCATTTTCTATTTAAAAATCATTACATTTTAAAATGTGTACCTGTTTCAACAACTGGCAAAAAGAAACTCTGTGGTTCAGTTTAAAACAAAGAATCGGCACGGGGAGTTTACTAGAATAAGGACCAAAACACTTACGAATTAAAGCAATTCAAGTTGTTTATGTGTGTCAAGGTTGTGTGTCTTTCTTTACCCCACCCCATCACACTCTCTTTCACAGACACACACACACACACACACACACAAACATGGCCATATGTGAAGCGATTTTAGTACAAAATATTCCTTGCAACCAGACATTTATCCTCAGAATAATCACACCACATTAAATCAGTCTTCTTTTTTCAGCCCTAGTAATAGTATTGTTTAATTCTAAGATGCCATCATAGAGTGAACAACCTTAACTTTTATGCTACATAATTATATTCAAAGCTTAAAGTAATTTTTTTATAATTACACAGTAATTATAAATGTTTAGTACCAAACTGATGACAAACACTATTTTGTTGAAAGGTCTTGCATTTAAAGAAAGTCTGTAAAACCCAAGGCACTAGGCCATGAACCAATATCATATATATATATATAATATATATATTATATATATATATATAATTTATATTGGAAAAAAGCTAAAAGGATCTCATTTCAAAACACAGCATACTCAAATTAATCAAGCTGAAAACAATACCGTAACTCAGAATCTTCAAGACAGGAAACAAAGTAGTACATATATATATGTGTGTATGTGTGTGTGTGTATATATCTTTAAATTTTTCATAATTGAAGTTACCCTTTATATTTACAAATATGAAATCAGGAAATACTGAAAACAGCAGGATTTGTCTTCTTTTTTGAATAACCAATTCCAGTAACCAGAACAGAAATTTTCAACATTTTCTTTTGATAGAATTGTATTCTTGAATTAAAGTTATAACTGGAATATTAATATATCTATGGGAAAAGCTTTCTAGTCAATTTCAAAATTATGTAAACAGTTTAATATGTCTTTTCTTAAAATCATTTACTCATCTACATAAAATGTACTACTATTCTGAAGTACACCTTCTCTTTGATAATTTCAACCTCAGGCATCAGGATGCCTGGATACACCAAGCAAAACCTCTTCCTGCTAAAGACCATAGTCATCCAGCATTCAACGTTTTACATGTTTAACCTGTCTTACAGAAATGTTTTAAAAAGCAATAATCCTTCTTCACATCAGGAGGTGAACAGGGAAAGAATTGAGCACTTTCACATAAAAGCAGTTCATTGGGTCTTGTAATGAAAAAAATAAGTACAAGATAAAATTCTGCTTTAATGTGAAATTTGAGCTAATTTGAATGAAACAAAAACAGTAAAGAGACTGAATAACTTACGAAAATAGAACTCAGATTGGTATTTTGCATCAAGTGCATGCTTGCTTGAAAATCTGAAGTATTTTGGCAACCACAGTGATTAGAAGTTAAAGCAATTTCAACAAAATAATAAGTCATCAAAAATGGCCTACTTTGTCTGAAAGAGCAGTACCTATAAGAATTGAACTTCATGGCTCATCATGACCATTTTCAAAATTTAATTCCTACTATCATCTTATAAATTAAGAGAATTTCATTTGTGTTCCATAGTGTGCTCACAAAAAAAAAAAAAAAAAAAGATATTATATGCATACAGAGCCGGGGTATGAAAGAGCAGTACCTATAAGAATTGAACTTCATGGCTCATCATGACCATTTTCAAAATTTAATTCCTACTATCATCTTATAAATTAAGAGAATT